ATTTTCTTGTTTTATCTAAAAATAATCGACTTGGCACATTAAAAACAATATACATAAATTCAAGTCTATGTGGAACTGGCCACATTTTACTGAGGTTTATTAAAAGTGAAAAAAATCCACACTTCAGTTATCATATGTCAACAGAGAAAGGTAAAGTAGCACTTGTATAAAAGAATATGCACCTATGTTTATAGTGGCACAGTTTGTAATAGCTAAAACTTGGAAACAACTCCCATTTGCCCATCTGTTGGAAACTGGATAAAGAACATGTGGTTTTTCTATAAAATGGAATACTACTCAGCCATAAGGAATGAGAAATTAGAGTCATTCATAGGAAAATGGACACATATTGAGGATATACTCCTAAGTGAAATAAATAAGTCACACATGTGTAAATACCGAATAGTTTCTCTGGTGTGCATAAGACCCTAATGAGATAATTGACAATGTGAAAGAGGAAGAAAAGGGCTAAAGGTGTAGGGAAAGTGGGAAGGGTGGGGGAAAGGTAATAAGGGAAAAGAAAAAAACATGAGAAAATGAAAAAATGGAAATAAAGCATTTGTAAATGGAGAGGGGAGGAGGGGGTGAAGAGAGGGCAGGGACAAAGGGAAAAAATGAGAACCAAGACCTGTCATATAAAGGTACAAGTTCCCAATAATGAATCTAACTGTACTGTATACCTATAATGTACCAATAAACTCAAAAAAATAAAAGGTAGAGAAAACTAAACATCTCAGAAATATTGATTTTCTCTCATTCCACTCCAAATTTTTAATATCCAAGCATTCTTACCTCGGTGAATTGTAAGTATATTGTTAAATGTGTTGCTTTCTCCTTCTTAGTCTTTTTTTGGGGTGACAAAAGACTGATTCTTCTGTAACAGAACATTACTATAAACAGGTAATGAGTATTATAGCGAAATCATAATATATTTTTGAAGAAAAGGTAAATGAAAATTACTTCTCTCAAAATAGTAAGGAAAGCATGGACCAATAAAAATGTCATAGTAATTTAATATAAGCCAATGTGAAGTTTTGTATTTCTAGAACAACTCTTGAACAAATCATGATATTTAGGAACATAATATAAAGTTTATATATGTGTAGATGTTATAAAAGCTAGAAGTGATTTAATAAGGTATTTTAAATCTTTGTGTAAATTCTTCTTTATTCAGTATTTTAAATATCAAATATGATTTCAATCATCTGCACATATTTCATGAAATAAGGAAGTGGGGCCCTTAAAAATCAAGTAATGTGATGAAAGGCAAGTATAGCATGAAGATTTAGATCTTCATGTAGATTTGGATCAAATCTTCCCAGTTGTCTGACCTACTAGCTTTCAATCTTTCCTTTTCAAATAGATGAAAATAGTTATAATTTATTTTATTGGTACATTTAATGTAGACAGTATAAGGACATTCATTGTTGAAAATTTGAAACTTTACATAATCAATCTTGGTTCTTATTTTTCCCCATTCCCTTGAAAATATTTTTTAAAACATAACATGACCAGGATAAATATAACAATAAAAAAATGAAAAAATATGTTTGCCATATATACACACAAATACATATGTGTGTATTTGATGTCCAGAATTGTAATGTATGATTCTACAATTTTTTAATTGTTTTCTCAAAAGCTTAGAAAAGAATACAAACAATGGAAAAAGGAAATTGCTCCTCATTGACTGAATTCATTTTAGTTGGAATTACTAATAACCCTAGGATGAAAGAAACACTATTTAACATGTTTCTACTTATTTATGTAATTAATCTCCTGGGAAATCTTGGCATGATCATCTTAACCAGAATGGACTCCCAGCTTCATACACCAATGTACTTTTTCCTCAGCAACCTCTCTCTCTGTGACCTCTGCTACTCCACAGCACTTGGACCCAAGATGCTGGTGGACATATTTAGCAAGAACAAGTCAATCCCTTTTATCAGTTGTGCTCTCCAGTTCTTCATTGCCTGCACCTTTGTAGACTCGGAGTGCATGCTGCTGGTGGTGATGGCCTTTGACCGGTACAAGGCCATCGGCAGTCCCCTGCTGTACATGGCCCACATGTCCAGCAGGCTGTGCTCCCTGCTGGTGGCTGCGGTTTACCTGGTGGGGCTGACAGACGCTCTGATCCACACCACACTGACATTCTGCCTGTGTTTCTTTGGGTCTAATGAGATCGATCATTTCTTCTGTGATATCCCACCCATCTTATTACTGTCTTGCTCAGAGACACAGATAAATGAACTAGCCATATTCACCATTTTTGGGTTCACTGAACTGAGCACCATCTCAGGAGTCCTCGTCTCCTATTGTTACATCATCTTATCCGTCTTAAAGATCCACTCTGCTGAGGGGAGTTTCAAAGCTTTCTCCACATGCACCTCCCATTTAACTGCTGTCGCAATTTTCCAGGGAACCGTGCTCTTCATGTACTTCCGGCCCAGTTCTTCCTACTCCCTAGACCAGGACAAAATGACCTCACTGTTTTACACCCTGGTGATTCCCATGCTGAACCCTCTGATCTACAGTTTAAGGAATAAGGATGTAAAAGCAGCTATTGAAAAGCTGAAAAGATGGTTATAAATATTTAAAATAAACCAAACCTTCCTCACACGTATATAGTGATTTTATTTGTTTCCTAATATTCTGCAGTAATGGATTAACACAATTCTTTACAATATCTTAATTTATTAAAATGAGTATTTATCCCTTACTTATTTGGACTAGTGCTCATCAGTGCATATGTTGTGTTTCTATGAGCTGAGGGGCTCCATACTCTGGAATTCATGCATAGTACTAATTCTCTTGGAAAACTTCCTTGGTACTTTTAATTTTGCAAGTTATTTATGTGCTTATTCTGTCATTCAAAAATTAGTATCACTGCATCAAATTTTGTCAAGTTGTCACTCAATGCTTTTGGCATTTCACTTTTTCATGTTCATGACAAATCCATTCATTTCTGACCTAATTGATCCTATCGTCTCATGAAAACAAGAGGCATCAACTAGCTAAGCATCCAAATTGTTTGTAACAAGCTTGCAGTCCTTCACCAAATGGAAAGGCTGAAGGAGATAAATGAGGGGCAAACATCGAATTCCACTGCGCAGCAGAGGGGCACCCTTGGATGTCCACTTTCAGCCTTAGTTATGAATCAGAACAGACGGGGAGAGGAAAGGGTTCCAGGCAAGGGTCCAATAGTTATCAGTGTCTTCTGGTGAAGAAGTCCTTCACTTTGACTAAGTGGACGTCTTCTGCGTGGCCAAAGAGTGACGGACAAAGTCTGGGGAAAGATGCCTGTGTGTGGTTATTGCTCATTGTAGAATCGTAGTTATCTCCACGAAATGTTCCACTTTTCACCCCACTCTGTCCTTACTAAAGGCCCGGAAGTGTAGTCCACAGTCCAGTGTCTCCGTGAGGGACGCGTGAGGCTGTCTGAGAAGCTGTGTCCAGTGTGAGATTGTGAGTTCTCCTGTCTCACAGGTGTGAGTTCCACACCTGTGGTCTGGTGCATCCGTGTGGTGCTTGGGACTGGAGATGCAGAAACAACCACGTAAAAATTTTCAACATGAGATATTTTTAGTGTTATCAGATGTTAGTAAAAGGAGAGCAACTTGCAATGATATGTGCTTTGAGTACACACGTATCCATCTACCTATGAATTACATAAAATCCTAGGGATCTAAGCCATGACCCCCCAGTGCCTGAGGAGGTGGGGCTTCCGGGAGGTGGCGGGTATTGGGGCGTCCGTTCTCAGGTGGATGAGCCCGCAGGTCACTTGTAGCTGAGGATGAGGTGAGGCGGGGCCTGCCTGGAGCTGGGGAGGAGGAGCGCGGTCTGCAGAGGTTTCTCTCCCAGCCGGCTTCTGCTTCCTCTCTGTGCCTCCTGACCACCGCGTCGTGAGCAGCTGTGCCCCGCCGTCCACCTTGTGTCTTTGAGCTGCACCCAGCGGATGGGAGGACCGGAGTTTAGAAAGTGAGCCGGCGTCACTGCCTTCTCCTCCCAGAGGGTGTGGGCTTTGACTTTGTGTCCCAAAGACGAGAATGTGACTAAGACAGCGCACACAGACACACACACGGACACACGCACGCACGGGCACAGTTGTGTAGCAATCAATCCCCCGCTGAGGTTGCAGAAGGCAGAAGTCACCTTCATTCCTCACTGTACACAATGGAATCCTGACCTCACCCCCGGTTATTTGGGCCCACAGGTTTTGTGCTGTTTGCCCTATGACTAAGAACTGCGCTGTGACTCCAGACGCACCTCACCTGTCAGGTTACTCTAAGGTGTCTGCAGCTCTCATGGGACATTTAGCGATCTCATAGCAGCCACACTGTAGGTGAAATGTCGTGATTCACATATCATCACAGGTCTCTTCGAAGACAGCCGATCTGGAAGCTTCCGCCGGTTTCTACCTTGCACTATTTGCATGCGTTGTCTTTTCTTATGTTCTGTGCAGTCTTGGAAATCGTCCAATGCACCTGCGTCATACAGCATTTTCTCTTAACATCAGTGTGAATAATGTTGGATTGTTCGAGGAAAATAAATAAAACCCTACTTCCATATTTGGTGACCCTTTATATCCTGTGATCTTTAAGCCCCTTGGTTGAAATCATGCCATGCTTGTATGTGGCGTTTAGATCCATTTTCAGGTTATATAGGACTCTAAAATTCTGTAGGGAACTAACTCCATAAAGTTCCAAAGTGTGATTCCATCTAAACATTCTTTAGTGTCTCATGAGGGTAACCACATCACTGTACTTGTCAGTGGGATTCACTGCATAGAACTCTAACCAGGAATTTGCTGAGAACGTGATTTTTAAAAATTATGTATACATAAGATCCTAATAAGATTACTGACATTTAGAAATGGAAAGAAGGGAGCTAAAGGTGTAGGGAAGGTGAGATGGGTAGGGGAAGGGTAATAAGGGAAAAGAAAAAAATGTGAGATAATGAAAAGATGAAAATAAAGTGTTTGTAGATGGGGAGGGGAGGAGGGGGTGAAGGGAGGGCAGGTGTAAGGGGAAAAATGAGAATCAAGACTTGTCATGTAGAGGTACAAGTTCCCAACAATGAATGTAACTGTACTATATCCCTAAAATGTACCAATAAACTCAATTACAGCTGAAAAAAATATGTATACTCCTCTAGATATTAGTAGCTACATCTATGCCATGTGGTTGTTAAAGACAGTGCAAATTTTTTGATATACAGAGTATGTAAAATTCATGACAGTGTACTCATGAAATAGTACACCAAAATATGTAGCATTTTTCAAGAGCTTCAGTGATCTCAGTTTGACCTTCAAGTTCATTTCTAAAGATTTTTGTAATAAAACATTGCAATGTGGTGAAACACTCATGTATATATAGCATTACCAATTTCTGAGAAATTATTATAAATATATATGTGCATTTCATATAAAATTTTGCTCTTCCCTCTAAAATTGTGTTGAAAGGCTGGTATGAATAATTGTACATTACTTAGAAAACGGATGAAGTAAAGAATTTTTCATCAAAAGAAGTAGAACCAGAAACTTTTAAAAATAAATTTAATACACAATGGGTTTAGGATTTTATTTTGTTTCAAAATCATACTATGAAGAAAGTATGATTATGTCCAGGAGTTACAATCAGAGCATTGAAGCCCAGGAACGGCCGGGGTCTGAATGCGACCTCGGTCTGCGTGTCGGGTCACATGGTGAGTGGGGAACACACACGAGGTGAGCCCTGCACATACCGGGACCAAGCAGGAGATGAGCCTGCCTGTGCCAAGTGCCGCGCGTGGCAGCCTGCACCCTCTGCAGATCAGTGAAGGCCCAGGAGCGGGACTGTTCTCATCTCACAACCACCTCTGAGGAATCCGAGGTGAGGGGCTATGTAGGCCCTACTTGTCACTTGGCCTTGCTGCCTAAGTCAGCCTGGAAAGAATAAGTCTCTGATCAGCAAAGGCAGTGCCCAGCTACCCGTCAGGGAGCGACTGCTGGCTCAGCTCAGCTGCAGCACGGGGCTGCGTGGCCTCCTGTGGGACCCTGCAGAGTGGGCAGGGCCTGGGGCATCACAGCTTCCTGAGAGCCCAGGAAACCTGCCGGGTTTAAAGCTTGCTTCTCAAAGTTGTGCTGCATCTCAGGGATTCTTCTTTTGGATAACACTGACTTAAGGGTAAGCACCGAGGAAGTGCTTTCCACACTTCTTTCCTTGGTTTGTGTCCGTCTTCAAATCCTACTCACATCCTCCTGACTCCTCTCTTACTGTCCATTACTGAGGGGTCCGAATTGCCAACTCTCAGATTTGACTTTAGCTGTCTTTCTGTTCTTCTTTTAAGCATCTAATTCTTCCATCATTTAGCATGCTAAAGTATTTTTTCTGCAGACTTGAAAACCTCTTCCAGGCCTTTTCATTTTAACCTCGTTGGTCTCCCCAAAGAGATAGGCATTATTTAAAAAAAAAAATCAGACACAGAGGGTCCCATGTTTTTTTTCCAAACTGGATCAATTTCCTGGGACAGAGGGACAGAACACTGAATGTTCAGGCTTGTCTGTCACACAGTGGCCAAAGAGTGACGGACAAAGTCTGGGGAAAGATGCCTGTGTGTGGTTATTGCTCATTGTAGAATCGTAGTTATCTCCACGAAATGTTCCACTTTTCACCCCACTCTGTCCTTACTAAAGGCCCGGAAGTGTAGTCCACAGTCCAGTGTCTCCGTGAGGGACGCGTGAGGCTGTCTGAGAAGCTGTGTCCAGTGTGAGATTGTGAGTTCTCCTGTCTCACAGGTGTGAGTTCCACACCTGTGGTCTGGTGCATCCGTGTGGTGCTTGGGACTGGAGATGCAGAAACAACCACGTAAAAATTTTCAACATGAGATATTTTTAGTGTTATCAGATGTTAGTAAAAGGAGAGCAACTTGCAATGATATGTGCTTTGAGTACACACGTATCCATCTACCTATGAATTACATAAAATCCTAGGGATCTAAGCCATGACCCCCCAGTGCCTGAGGAGGTGGGGCTTCCGGGAGGTGGCGGGTATTGGGGCGTCCGTTCTCAGGTGGATGAGCCCGCAGGTCACTTGTAGCTGAGGATGAGGTGAGGCGGGGCCTGCCTGGAGCTGGGGAGGAGGAGCGCGGTCTGCAGAGGTTTCTCTCCCAGCCGGCTTCTGCTTCCTCTCTGTGCCTCCTGACCACCGCGTCGTGAGCAGCTGTGCCCCGCCGTCCACCTTGTGTCTTTGAGCTGCACCCAGCGGATGGGAGGACCGGAGTTTAGAAAGTGAGCCGGCGTCACTGCCTTCTCCTCCCAGAGGGTGTGGGCTTTGACTTTGTGTCCCAAAGACGAGAATGTGACTAAGACAGCGCACACAGACACACACACGGACACACGCACGCACGGGCACAGTTGTGTAGCAATCAATCCCCCGCTGAGGTTGCAGAAGGCAGAAGTCACCTTCATTCCTCACTGTACACAATGGAATCCTGACCTCACCCCCGGTTATTTGGGCCCACAGGTTTTGTGCTGTTTGCCCTATGACTAAGAACTGCGCTGTGACTCCAGACGCACCTCACCTGTCAGGTTACTCTAAGGTGTCTGCAGC